TTAATCTAGGACAAAATCTAAGAAAGGTGTGCAAAGCTTTGCAAGCGCTGCTTTAGTGACAGTCATTTGGTATTTTCTGGGGTAATTTTTGGGAACTTTTCAACATCCAAAACCTATTTGCAAGCTATAAAGTTCACAAAAGGTTAGTCTGTGTCACTCTAGGAATGAGGTCATGCTGTGGTTTGTCCTTTCCTGTGGCCTTGCTATAATCAAATCAGTAATTTGTTCAAAGTATAATTTTAATTTCATTCATCTGATGTGCTTGAATCTGTTCAGGAACATGATATGAAGAATAACCTCACTATGACCCAAATCAAATACAAAATTCAATACCTGCCAAAATTGCAAATTACACATCCATTCCATGTTGGCAGGTGTTAAGTGTGAGAAGTAAAAAACCTTTTGTTTTATCAGAAATCTCCAAACATGAAATTTGTAAATAACTGGTGGATAAATGTTTGGTTAAACCTTGGCCAAATATAAATCAAAATACAGTACAAGAGCTGTATTTATTTTTTTCAAGATTCACAAAACTTAATATCTGTATGCAAGACAGAATCATTCATGTGAAGGAGACTACTAACATCTACTTGTTTCTTTGCTGTATATTTAATCTTGTCTAATGTTTACCTTTTTACTGGTATCTAAAGTGTTATCTCTGTGAATTATGTATAATATATAAACTGTTTAAATATGAAAACATTACATCATTTTTAACTGTTTTCTGTAGTAGAACATACAGTCCATTCTATAATAAACTGTGCACTTCTTTACATTCTGGCTGAAATAATAATTTGGTAGATAAATATCTATAACCATGAAATATATCATACTAATTTAAGCTACATTAAAATGTCATATCTTCCTTCTTTAATAACCATAATATTATCTTATGTGAAAAACTTCCCCATTTAGTGTGAAAAATGTGTATGTGGGTTTCTTTGGGGGACAGAAAGGTTATCAAAATATTATTTTAATAATTATACAGATTTTCCATAGTTCTAAATCTATTCAATGAGTAAAACACAACCATTCTATGTTATGTATTGATTGTGTTGAGTGTATATATACAGTACAGTTCTAAGAAAAATAAATACTAATCAATGTACTGTAAAGATAATCCTTACTCAAATCCATACACAGGGCAGAGAGGCACAACAAGCACTTCTGTCAGACCAATGAAAAGAGGCAGAGAGATCAGCACAATCTCCCTTAATAGAACTAGACAGGGAATGCACCCTAGATTTCAGTATTATTAGCAGTGTGCTCCAATTCAGACACCCAGTCCCTAGCACTTCATCACCACTATTAAAATTGTTAAAGTTCCTTCGAAATGTCTTATGCTTGGATTTTCAGATGAGAGGAATGCAAACATCTTACTTTGGCACTGCTCAATGGAGACACACTGCATACAGCATACAATAAATAGGTCAGGGTGAACTGTTCTGTCTTTCTCCACCCCTCTGAACTGACGCCAGCACAAATAAAGAAAAAGCATCCAATATTTTTTTTTCTTCCTGACAGTGCTGAGAGACTTTTTATCAGCCAATAAAAACTCCAACAGTTTGGCAATCTATCAATTTTTGTTAAATGTCAGGCGAGAGCTCATAAGTCATATAAATCATGTGTAAAATAAGAACATTCCACACTGTCAGGCCCAGAAAACACACACAAGGTGGTCAGGTAAGAATCCTGTAAGAAAATTAGGTTCAATCAATTTTCTAAGGCCAGAAATCTGTTGCAACAATCACGGTAAGATAATCTTTTGGTATCTAAGTGCCTGCTCATCCATAATGAGTTATGTGTCAACAGATAAACGTTTGTTGTTTATCTGTCAAATATTATGAAAACATCATGAACTGATTGCATTGAAAACCTGTATTGCCAGTTTACATAATGCCCATATTGCTTCTTCAAGTTCCTTGATATCACCAATTATATCAATGTTGAGAAGGAATATGGACATACTGTAATTTTTTACCAAAGCCACATACAGTATAACATACAAATGTTTGATATCCAGCTTCTTTAAACTATTTCATTTATCTACTGTTAGGGTTCCAAGTCCGACCATATGGTAGCAATGTGGAGTAGTGGAGAGGGCTCTAGGCATGCAACTGGAAAGCTGTGGCTTCGAATCCCAAGTGGAACACAGCGATGGTACCATTGAGCCAAGACTAGCAGTCAGATCGCTCTGGTACAATGTTCCACAGATAAATCAATTCAATTAAGGCAATTTGGACAGAAGTGATAGCCAAATAAATTAGTACTACCACATACAGTATGAATAGTGTGGGAACAAGATGGGTTTTTTTGCTTATGTATAAAAATACTAAAAATCACAATACGAGACGCTTATCTACCATTTCTAATATTATAGTCAGAATAACTTAATTAAATCAGTCTTATTTATTTAACTATACTGTATCTTTAAGACAGGTAGCTTGAGGAGTTACAGTAAGTGTCCTAATGCTTTTTGGTGCATTTTTACATTTTATTAGGAACATAAACTTCCAATTTCCCATGATGAACTCCGGGCAGGCCTTGTTGAAATCATAACTCTAACTACATGACTGCATACTTCCTTTCATTTAATTTTAACCACCTCAGTTTTTTATCTGACATTTTTATTGCCCTTTTAATATTACTTGTTGATACGTATCAGAAAGCTAAGTGTTTTACAGGGAATCTGAGCTGTGTTGGACATAATGATTCTTTATACTTTCCATCTTGCAAACACTATCAAAACAGTACCTTACAATGTGTAGTAACCAAACGTAATAACATTAATAATAACTATTAACTGTATTATTACGAAAAAATAATGAGCAAAGGCTTACATATGACCATTTGACTACTGCAATTTTTAGTATTACCCTTTTTCTGAACTGGTAATTCTCCATTTCAATGACTTGCAGAACCTGTACTCTTATCCATTAAACATTAAAACTAAAATCTGCTCTCTTTCAAAGCTATAAATGTGAAACTGTACTCAGTAGTCTGATCAAAAGAGCAGCTAGCATGACCAAAAGATGACTCTGTTATTATATAGTAATTTGCCTCTTAGCTCGTCTTTCGTACAAGCAGTAATGTAGCAAGAATCCCTGCCATTTGCAATAAAAAGGTGAAAAATGTAAAAATGCATTACCGCACATTTTCTCTGTGTGACTGCCTGTGGTTGGTCCTGAATTATGAACATTTTAGAGTCTTTAATTCACATGTCTCCTGTCACTTCGGTGTCTCTTACAATTGTCGGTATTAATAGAATAAGAAAATTGAATAAAAAAAAAATGAAAATTGACCACAGTACTGAAATTAGTCAGAGATGCTGTAATCCTAGGGACCAACATGACAAACAACTGCTATTTGATTGGGATGAAAGTATATGGAATAGGTACAAATGATGCTGCAGGATAGTTAGAGAATTGATTAGCTTCAGCACAAATGCTTCTCGGTTGTAATTTAAGAGATATTTGGGATGGTGATGGGATAAGGCAAAAGCCATTCATACAAAATGAGTGCCTTGATTCAACCAACTGCCAGTAAAGCAGTTACACCTTGGCTGACTACTAGGCAAAATGCTTCTTTATGTGTTTAGTACTCAAAAGTGGCCCTTTGGTTTCGCATAACTGTGTAACCATTAAAAAGTTTTAAAAAGTACCTTAAAATTCTGAACTTCTGCTTAATGTTCTACCAGATCAGTAAAGTAATGGCAAACCCACAGCTTTCTAAATTACAGCCATTCAAACATTTATGTTACATTATATACTGACAGACTACTGTATTTAGATGTAAGCTTACAAGCCTAGCATCAATGTCTTTCAAAACAGAGTGACAGACAAGGAGAGGGAGATTCAGAGATGGGTACTCATGGTGATGGGTGTCACAATGACAGGAAATATATGAGGAGCATGAGGTAGGGTTGCTTTTTCTTCTTAGGAAAGGGTTAAAAGCTGAAATATAATAATCCACTGAGGCCAAAAACAACAAAAAAAAGTTAATTAAATAATTATAATCCACTCAAGATCATGGAATGATAAGTGTTCCCTCTATATTCTATTGACACTGAGGCACGCAAACTGCAAGCCTGTTAAAATGAATATAAACATAAAGGATCTGTACATATTTGTTACTCTGAAAAAGACAATATGTATTAAAGACAGACACATCATTACAAATTTCTACTTTTGGGCTATGTTGCTTTTCCTAAATTTCCAGTGAGGTTCCATCAACTGTAAGATCTGACACCCATCTGTGATGAGCACTAAAGAACACGTAAGCAAAAAACAAAATAAAAAACGGTTAGGACAGAATCTACAAAACTACTTACTACTTACAACTGTTATCATAAGCAGTCACCCAAAGAGCTCAATTTACAATTGTGCGGGCTCCTTGAGGACAATTCAACATCCCTGGTGATGTACAGTATCACCTTTTCCCAATGTGCAACCGAACAATGAAGGTTACTGGTCCAAATCCTTACCAGACATACTACTGAAATGTACTGTACCTCAGTTAATCTCTTCCAGTACTTCAGGAGACCAAATCCAGTTTTACTAATCGCTGAAAGGAATTTATGAGAAACCTCTTTGTTTTTCCATAACCACTCCTGCTCTGCCATGGTGTATTATATTATACCAGTGCCATAATTCCATGCAGATTGTGTTTAACTCCTACTTTACTTTTGTTCTACAAGACTGTTTGTGTCTGAAGGCTTAAAATATGCAGCTTGCCTTAGGGAGATATGCTAAGCTACCACATCTGAAGTTGGCCTGCTCAAGACAATGAATATTTTGAAAGGAATTCATCTCAGCAACGAGATAATTGAAATTGGATTTTATGTTTAATCTTGTCTTAAATTGTGCATTCCGGCACATTATATAACAAAAGTATATTAGGAACCTCCTTTTACAATTCTGTATGAGCTGTTTAAGCTTTCTTGTAAATATATTTGTCAATACATATTTTGGCCACACAGTGTAAACATTTTTTTTTTTTACCTCCCAGGGTCATTCCAGCTTCAAAACATTTCCTGAGGCGGCAGGAAGGACAATTCTTTCTTCTCAGCTTGTCGATGGTACAATCATTTCTGCTGGCACACAGGTACTTCTGTTTTCCTTGAAACACAACCAGCACAAAACAAAGTTCTTTAATACAAGTTAGCAAGAAGCACAAACATTACTAGTGATGGTTTAAAACATGCAATCAGCTGAATGAATGAGGTATCTGAAAGTTGTCAGGAAGAGAGTGCACTGAATAAAAGAATTACAAAACACATATTTAAATATGAATTGAACTTGTAAGACCTACAAAACCATTCTTTCTCTACTGTTTGCTTTTTGGAAGGTAACAAAATACTTGGTTTCTTTTCATTCAGTGGGTTTATGTTTTCAAACCTATAATGGACTGCTGTATACAAGTTTTAGACATCTTAGGCATAAGCAGGAGTTAGGATACATGTGATCTTTGAACAAGAGAAATTTACTCTAAGTCTCTGTAATTAGTACAGTTAAGTTTGGGTGAGAAAAAAAGCATGACAGCAATTTTTAAATCACATTGATCAAAATCCTCAAACACCTGTTAATAACAACTCAATGTAAATTTTGCATGAGCTGCCTACATGAATCACTGTAGTACCTAATCCACAACATTTCAAATCTAATTCTCATTCCTCTCTACACATCCATAACATTAAAAGCTCAAGAGAACCTAGAACTAAGAGGTACTTCAACTCTTGACCGTAACAACTCATGTATAGACTGTAATGCCTCCCAAGGCAGGAAAGCCAAGGGCAGAGCTTCTCCCTGAGGAGTATATATCTTTAAGTGACTGCAGGTGTAGAAGCATGTGATTCAATGAGCTTCTCTAAGGTGGTTAAAGCCAAATGGGAATGACTGAGAGAGGGAATTCCTCTGGTACTGCTCAAAAGGGACTAGTGTTAAAGGTTCATATCCTGCTGCCCTAAGTCTGTGACTTAAGGGCTAGGGACATGGGCTGCAACGAGCCTGTAAGATTGAGAGGTGTGACAAAATAGAAAAGGTTAACGTAAGGAGTAAACGTGGTGTAGCCCAGGGTGGTGTCATCTAGCATATGGTTCACTGTGCCTGGCATACTGCGAGCAAAGGGCTTGGTGATCCTGTGTTCACTATCGCTCAGACACGGTGAAAAGCAGAAATTGATAAAGAGGTTTTCCGACAGAGCTGTGGGCATATTTCACCTTGTGTCCTAAACTGTCTCTGAAAAGAGTACTGAGGAGAATACTGAGAAAAGAAGGTGCAAAAACTTTCCAACGGGCGGTGATGTCTGTCATCATGGGCTGTCCAATGTGGCATCATTACAAGATATAAATAATAACTGTCTAAGTAAGAGGATTCCCAAAATACAAAACACACATGAAATATCAGAGACTTCCAAATCATCAAATCACCAAGTCTGACATGTTGTCCATATTTTTCTTGCTTTCATTATTACTTGTCTGACAAGTAAGATCTAACTTTTGACTCCACATTTATTATTTTAATCTCAATTGATCTACTGTATGTGATGCCGCAAAGGATGCAGTTTCTGAGGGATGGTACTTTCTCCAAAACAATATACGACTCACTGATGCTTTTGTCCATACCATGATGGCCACTAATGGAAACCTTTTACAAAATGGCATCTGCAGACAGTTACTGGAACAGGGAACAGCTGTGGGCCCTGTTCCAGCCTATATAAGTCAATCATCAAGCTGCTAGATTGCTGATGCCAAGCAGAGAGGGGGAAAGAAGAACGAAGCATGGAAGAAGATACTGTGAGAGTGTTTTGGAAACATAAATAATGGAGAGAAGAAATTCACTTGAGGAAAAGAAACATTCTTAGAAAAAAAACGGAGAGTGAGTGTGAAAAGCCATTTTGCTTGTTTGTTAAAAAAACAGTGAAGCTGCCCAGTGTTAAGCAAAGGAAATTCAAAGCTTAGGCAGGAGCTCAAACAGGATTTATTTTAGTTGTTGTTTTTTTATTGCTTTTGTCTAAAATATAAAGCACACTGTCATAAACTACCAGTCTGTCTCAGGGTGTGACTATGTTTACTTGCCTATCTTGTGTGCCCTGTGGACACGATGCCCCCTGAGGCATCATAAGTAGTATAAGGCAAAGTAAAAACTATTATATGCCATAGTCCTACGGTAGTTTCTTGTCTTTGAAATGTTTTATTAAACAAAAATATATATGGTTGAGTAGACTTACCCATTCCCTAGCAAAGGGAACAAAAATTTAAACTACAATGTGAAGATAAAAAACTAAGAAGACAGCCCATTAATTAACCATGGTGTCTTCTGAAAGTATTCACCCCCCATGGATTTTTAACAATTTGGTTACATTAAATAGAAACACGTTTTTATGGAACTTTTTGTCATTGATCTACACAAATTACTTAAAGTAGAAATGTTTATAATTTATAATAAGAGCTTTGAGTGGAGTGTCCAGAAAAGCGCTATATAAGTGTAAGCAATTATTATTATTATTATTATTATTATTATTATTATTATTATTATTATTATTATTATTATAATTATAATTATAATAGAATAAAAAAACAGACGTGTCTTTTCTTGATTTGACAAGTTTCACCACCCTTACTCTCCAAACTGAGCTCAGGTGCACATGTGAAATCTATCTAAAACTTAAAAGGAGTCCATGTGTGGTCATTTCATTGGTGGACTTGATTTCAGAAGAAATACATCTGTATAATGTCCTTAAGTTGACAGTGCATGTCAGAGCAAAAACTCAGACTCTACCATGAAAACTATGGAGCTGTCCATATACATAGCTGTCCACTACAGAATTAGGACGAGGTACAGATCTGGTAAAAGGTAAAAGAGATAGATCTCAGACTTGGGTGAAGATTCACCTTAAAAAAGGTATAACAGCCCCAAGCATGCTGCCAAAGAAACACTGGTGTGGCTTCAGAACAAGAAGGTCAACATCCTTTAGTGGTCCAGTCAAAACCAGACTTGAATCCCATTAAGAATCTGTGGAAGGACTTGAAGACTACAGTTCACAGATGCTTCCCATCCAACTTAACAAAGCTTGTGCAAATCTGCAAGGAACAATCAGCAAAAATCACAAAATCCAGATATACAAAGCTGTTACAGACATACCCAAGAAGACTAGAAGAAGTTGCTTCCACAAAGTACCGACTCAGCTGGATGAACACTTTAGTAAACAATATATTATATAAATTTAATTCCAATTTTACTTTGAGAATCTAATATAACTAAAGGGATAGCTTAGGAGATACCTTAATAGGAATTTTTCAAAAGTGCTTCTTAGAACACTGAATAGCATTCACTCCTGCCATGATAGAAGTTGTTCACTTCAGGACTCACCTTCAGCTGCTCTTTTGAAGAACACTTTACAGCTGCCGCATGTGAGTGCTCCATAGTGACAACCAGAGGCCTCATCTCCACAAATCAGACACGTCCTCTGAGGCGGAAAAAAGTACTCCATCGGGAACAAATTTTCTCTTCCACTCTCAAATCTTAAATGAGAAAAACAAAGGTGGGGTGATTACACAAATCTGAAACCAAACTGAGATCTTCCCATTCAAATTACAGAACAATCAGAAAAATGTAGGTTAAAAACCAGGAGAAGACGGTCATTTAGCCTTTTTAACTCACTTGGTTACAAGTTTGAAACCAATCTATTTTTGAAAGATGTCACAGTACCAACTGACCATAATGATACATTTTGAATAACTGACAGATGATTCCAGATTTTTCTGGCCTTAGTGTGAAACAGGGTCTCCTCTTCTTTATATTTTAAGATATACTGTACTTCATCACAATTTATACTTACAGTATGTCCACTAGGTTGACTTTACCAATGTCTTTGAAGATTTTGAATACTTGAATTAACTACAGTACCTAGTAGTCTTCTCTATGTAAGACTAAAAAAGTGATGGTCATTTTATTTTGACCTTATCTGTGAATTTGACCTTACTATGTATTGTACTATGTATTATAACTATGTATAACTACTAACGAATGTATTGTTAAAAAGTCTAATGATCCTAATACAAATCTCTCACAACCAAATCTGAGTAGTCACCCCTCATATAATTATTTTTATTTATCATGATTAGTCCAAATACTGTATATGCATTATCCTGAATTCCCGTAACTCTAACTTCTACTCAGTAAATTGTGATGTGTCCAAAGTTCTGCAGCTAGATTTATAACTCACACCAGACCCTGGCAGCATATCACACTTACACAGCAGAGTAGCTATAAAACAAAGAAGAAAAGCAAAGATCCAGTAACATCAAATAGCATCAGAATCACTGTCCCTTATATATTAACATAGCTAAGATCTGCACACAGATTAGGTTTAGGATAAGCCACTTGGAAATCATATGTGGGAAAGTCTGTTCCATCAAACAGGTTCTGTGTCCAAATGGATAAGAGGTGTTGTTAAAATTCTGAACTGTCACTGTTTTTTTCCTAGAGTTCTTCTATGCCTGGCAATGCAGTTAAACAAAATGTGTGAAAATAGTTACAATGTTACAGAGCCTATCCTGGCAAGCAACAGGCATAAGGCAAGGATTCACCCTGTACACCCTGGATCCCAGTCCAGCACAGGGCAGACTCACAATGGGGCCAAGTTTCCTAGATGTCAATTAACCTTCCAGTATGTTGTGGACTGTGGGAGGAAATTGGAGAACAAAGAATACTCCACACAGATAGCACCCCAGCTCAGGAAAGTGAACCCAGGGCTCCAGAACTACAAAGCAGCAATGTTAACCACTGAGCCACTGTGCCACCAAGCATAAAAGTCATCATTATACATTTACAAAGGTGTAGCTACACAATGCATTTCCAGTTCCGAAACTTATTGCACCTGGGCACCAGATCAGTCAAGTTACTGGAGCAAGTCAGCTTGAAAGCAAACCTTGATCTGTTAAGTGTTTCCATGTCATGAAAGAATTATAAAATGGAGTTTGGTAATAACAAACAGCCACAGCAATGTTATGGAAATAGTCTGGAAAACATTGCAAACAATAAAATAATTAGAAATCTGTTTACAATGAACCCCACTAATGTCTGTCACAAAATGAATGACAAAGTCCATTTAAAGGAAGCTTTCAGAAGTTAAATTATATGAATACAAAAAAACTATTTCCAAATGTATTTTTTTCTTGAAAATCATACATGATTTTATACAATATTTAATTACATTTGCATTAAATTATATTTTGCAATTTATTTTCTAGTGATGTGATATGAAATGGTCATCTAGGAAAAAGAATTGAGATGCAGACCTAATTTCATTAGTAATAAAAAAGGGTTTGTTGTGTTTTATTTTCCCTTTCACAAATTTAATTGAATTGCTGGAGTGGATGCCAGTTCTTTTCTATCTTGGCAAATATGGAATTGGCAGTAATCCCCTGTGAATAATGGTTAAAGGCAGTGCAGATATAAAGATTTCAGATCATAACATACAGCAAAAAAATCCACAATGTTCTACTGTTTATCAAATGATTCGAGATAGTAAAGTTAAGAATACAAATGCTATTTACATCCCTGTAGAAGTGAAACAATATAATGGTTGATCGACTAAATACAATGCTTTTGAAATGAGGCAAAGAAGGAACCATCAGGATTGTTTCCCACAGGTGTGCAATGTACTTTAAGAGAAACAAAAAAACTCTGGTTTCTCCATAGTGTGACAACATTCTTTTAAATGAATTCAAAACTGAAGGTATCAAATCAACACTTACATCTAGGCATAAGATAAACTTTATCTTTCTCAGGCATTCAGAACATTATGTCAGCATGTTATCAAGTTGCAGAAGGCAGAAATTAAGAAAAACTTGTCCCTCTCTGCGTATGTCATTGTCCCCTGTCTTTCAAGTGTTCTGGCCTAGAGGCATTCTGTGGCTTTGCATCATGAAACAAATTTGATATGCTTTGTTTGCAAACTTACAGAGTGGCTTAAAATACTATAAAATTTTAAAATGCCAATTTGCAAAATAGGCCAATTGCTTAACGTGCTCCACAGGCATGCTGCAAGCTATTTTGTAACTGGATGATACAATTCATGAAGCTCAATGGAGAACAGTGACTTTAAAGTCTTTGTACTGCTCAAGAGGTGATACTTTATATATGTTTGTGTGTTACAGTTTCCTAGAGCTTTTTGATCCAGAAAAAAATGGATTACCTGCAGTTTTGCAAAAGCTGTAAGGTTCACGTCAAGCAAGTTACAATGTCATTTTGTAATAAGCAAATTTTGCAGTAATGGCTCCTATGATTTAGGCTATATTGCATGTTAAGATAACACTGATAACTCTTTATTCCATGCTGAAAAGAGAAGAAAAGAAACACAACTTTTGTGTTTCTTTTCTTCTCTTTCCAGCATGGAATAAACCTTTACTTGTTCCTTTGGAGCCTACGCATGCTGACGCAGCTACTGCTTCTTGAACTAATATTCATAACTCTTTATGACCAGTTGAAGTCTTCATAATAATTGAACAACTACAGCCCTATATTGGCCATATAAAAAGTTCTAAACCTTAAACATATCATAAGATGCACCATGGCAATCGTTATAAACATTTATGCATCAGTTATGTCTTTCAGAATAAAAGGCATAAAGAGTTATGAAGGTTGTTATAGTACAGTATATTCTACAGTATATATAGGATATAATGTATTCTCATCTACGCTGCAAGAAGGTATACTACTGTAGGTGAAGTGCAACACCTTTTATTTAAGGTACAGGTTTGGAGCACTAGCTTGATGTTTGCTAAAGGCTTTAAAAGTTCTCTTTATAATTAAATATTTAGAGCTGTTTTTGTCCTTTCTTTACATGACCCTCAATAGGAATCCCATTATAGTCTCATATAATGACAAAATGTAACAGAGCCTTCCTTCTGGTTTTGCTCTGAAATCATAAATTTAAAGTTTGAAAAAAAAAATATGGTACAATGTATTGCTTTTACTTACTGTAAGTTAAATGTGTTGATCAGACAGAAAAACAAAAGTTTAAATTTGTAAATAGTACTTCTTCCCAATATCTTGTTATGAAATCTCTATATTGTACTGCCCAAGTCATATAAAAAGACTCAGTATACAGTATATATACAGTATGCTACCTAAAAATAGATTAAAGTATTTTTAACTATTACTACACTTAGTCAATTATGGTCTTATTCACAGTAGCTTCTTCTGTGAATAGGAACACCTTAAAAACAGACTTATCATTGAATAAAGCACACCTGCCTGCCTTTTCATTAAAAGGGGGATCTGGGTGTCTTTTGATCTTTTCTGCTTGCGTTTGATTAATCAAAAAAGGACACACTCCATCTCACTGTGTGTAGAGAAAACCCCAGAGAAAAATATGTTCCAGCCTTAATTGAAAAAGCTCACATTGATATACAGTATTAACTTGATGAATTATGGCACTTGTGTGCCTTGTTTAAGTGTTCCTGAAGTGTTTAGAAACTTTTCCACTCATGTGGGCTGACTGGTCAGGTAAGATACAGTAGGACAAAATTTGCAGTTTTAATTTGCCTCCAAAACATGCTGGTCTATACAAAAAGAAAAACAAATATGTACCGTATAAACTAGGACATAAGAGTTTGGAACTGTGATGCACACTAACAACATTCTAAATTCCACTTCAAACATAATGACGTCTGCTCGTGGTCTAAATTCAATGCAGCCAGCCTTCATACAGTGCTACAAGCTCTAAGCACGCAACATGCAAATACAAAATCCTGAATTTTGGTTTTAACCCCTCCATATGTAATCACTTCTGCCAGAGTTTGTTAGGGTTACAGTACATGGGCTTTTGATAGTACAACTGCTATACATAGGACTAACCTTCCTCAGTTCCAGGTAGATTTGAGCTCTTTGAAAGATTTTCATTAACTCCAGGCTAGAAAAGAACTAAGAACTAGAACTACAGAAAATGTGTGAGGAAGGTGTGAAGTTTCTTGGCAGGACAGAAAAAAGTTCTGCTGCCTGAGGACTTACTGATTGGACTATGTGTACAGACATAACTATACCATGATGACCTACTCCATAGATGCCAAGGTTTTCATAAGCATAACAAACCCAAGGACAAAACTGGTAACCAAGCGTAATGGCTCTCTAATCGTACTCAAAACATCTTCAATTCTTGGCAGAGAGTCAAAACTGAAATGCACGTCTATGCAGCATGTACTGGAAAGTATTCACCAAATACAACTTACAATTAGACTTACTGTACTACAGTACAGTATATTGAGTTCAGCATGTGGCTTAACCCATTATAGTAATAATAAACAAACTGCTTTCTTGTTCCCACTTACTATGTTGATATGAATTGATTTTTTATCCCTATTTCTGAAACTGCATGCAGTATCTCAGAGTTCATGCTTTCAACTGGAATAACTTGGAAGGCTCCATTAGTATATCATTGTACAAATACCGTGAATATAAAAGAATACATGCTTAAGGGCACTGCTTTCATCAAATGCACTAGTTTTGCATCCTAAAT